ATATTTATATATATAAATATATATATATATATAAATATATAAATATGCATATTAAAGTGTGGGAAACGATGCATTGGCACATACCTTTGCATTTGTACCAGATTGTATTGTACTCACATGTGCCGTTATAAGTTCCAGTCTAACATTTGATTCAGTACATACGAGGCTAGCGCGTCAACCATACATTGTTAAACATTGTTTCTGTACGTCTGCAAAGATACAAATTTAGCCAAAGTCTCTATACAGCACTCTCTCGATCCCCACCTTACTACCATCGGTCGGTTTTAGGGCTATTAGGCTAGTGTGTCAACCAATCATGATGCTTTATGTTTACAAACACACACAGACATACTACACACACACACCCGCACTCTCCACATACAGTACCCCCCCAGATACTCACCTTACTCCCACCCGCTACCACAAACAGATGGGGTGCGACCGGGTTGACCGAGACACTGTTGATCTCACTCCTGTGCTGCACTACTATGTTGGACGTACACGGTGTGTGTGCACACGTGTGGTGTTCTCGCAGATCGTACAGGCGCACGGTGCCGTCTTCACTGCAGGACATGAACACTGAGGGGGTTTGCGGGTCCATAGCTATCTGTAGGGATGGGAGAATGGGATAGTGTAGGGATGGGAGAAAGGGAGGCAGTGTATGGCGACTGGGATGTTGAGATAGGCGTAACGTGAGGGATGGATAACAGATACAGTGCGGTACTAGATAAGAGGAAGAGGGTGGAAGCAGGTGCATATGCTTCGAGAGTAGTAGTCACCGTTGGATTGCTGCTGGAATCAGGGGGCGGATCAAGCACAGATAGTAGCGTAACCCTACAAAGGGTTGAGCATGGTTGATACAGGTGGTTGATACAGGCAAACCAAGGTAAGTTTTAAGATAAAAAGTGATCCAGTCGAGTACACACAAGGTGCGATAGATTGCTATAGGTACACCGCACTTTGCATAAGGTGATTAACGTCTGAAGATGTCCTACAGCGACACCGTTGGGTTGTTGAAGTGTGTTGGTACTGAATACAGTGACATTGGCATGTTATATATTGTATAGGAGAAATTGTGCGAGAAAAACGTGTACGCTAGATGAACGTATTAATATTGCATACCAGCATGCCATTTTACTTCTTTCTACATGTTTACGCCACCAAAAAGAACACCCGCCCATACCAAACATACGCTCATACGCGTGAGCACAACCAACCAACCAACCTTTTTCACGTCCTGCGTATGGCACTCGTATCGGTGTAAGCGTTTGCCTCCCTCCGCCAGACTATGCACCCACACCTGCCCATCCCGTGCGCCAGAGACAACAGTCTTGTCACTCTCCATAAACTGCGCACAGAAGATGTTGTTGACATGACCTGACGCCCATTTGTGCCGTATTTTTCCCGAAGGGAAGTCCCACACTATGAGATCTGTGTCATCACTCCCACTCAGCAGCATATTGCCCTATACATGGAAGAAGGTAACAAGTATAGTGAACGACAGGAACAGGGATGGTATATGAAACGACAGGCATGGACAATTAATAAACCATGTAAACCAACAGGAATGGATAAATAAAAAACCATTTAAAGCGTTTAATATATATTTAATAAACCATTTAAAACAACATACATGGATAATTAATAAAATACCATTTAAAGGGTTTAATGGATAATCAATAAACCATTCAAAACAACAGGCATGGATAATTAAATTAATAAACAACCATTTAAAGGGTTTAATGGATAATCAATAAACCATTCAAAACAACAGGCATGGATAATTAAATTAATAAACAACCATTTAAAGGGTTTAATGGATAATCAATAAACCATTCAAAACAACAGGCATGGATAATTAATAAACCATTTAAAGGGTTTGATGGATAATCAATAAACCATTCAAAACAACAGGCATGGACAATTAATAAGCCATTTAAAGGGTTTGATGGATAATCAATAAACCATTCAAAGCAACATGCATGAATAATTGATAAACCATTTAAAGGGTTTAATGGATAACCAATAAACCATTCAAAACAACAGGCATGGATAATTAATAAACCATTTAAAGGGTTT